GTAGGTTGCTTAGATTTTAGGGTAGGATGTATTTTTCAGGTGACAATGAGCTGAAAAGATACATCATGACAGAGGTTCATAGCTCAAAGTTTGTCATGCATCCCAAAAGCACTAAGATGTATCAAAGTATGTGACCCCAATTTTGGTGGAACGAGATGAGAAAAGATGTAGCTGACTTTATCTCAAAGTATTTGGTATGTCAGCAAGTTAAGGCAGAGCATCAAAGCTCAGGCGGGCTACTTCAGCCATTACCAATTTTAGAGTAGATGTAAGAACATATCACAATGAATTTTGTGACAGGATTGCCTAGGGCATGCTTGGAACATGATACCATTTGGGTAATTGTTGACCGGCTCACCAAGTCTTCCCACTTGTTAGCCATTAGGATGACTGACCCCTTGAACAAGTTAGCGAGAATGTATTTCTAAGAGATAATCAGGTTACATGAAGTGCCAGTAACAATAGTGTCCGACAGGGATCTCAGGTTCACTTCTCGATTCTGTTCTAGTTTTCAGCAAGATATGAGAATGAAACTTTCTCTTAGTACTGTATTATATCCTCAAACTGATGGACAATCGAAAAGGATGATTCGCACACTAGAGGATATTCTCCGAGCTTGTGTTCTTGATTCAAGGGCTATTGGGATGATCATTTACCCCCAATAGAGTTCATCTACAATAACAAGTACCAAACAAGTATTGACATGGCTCCGTACGAGACATTGTATAACCGTCCATGCAGATTGCCAATCTGTTGAGAAGAAGTGGGTGATAGAAAATAGTTCGATCCAGATCTTGTAGATGAGACTACGACGAAAATAGTTAAGATCAGGAAGAAGATTCAGACGGCTTAGAGTAGACAGAAGAGTTATGCGGATACCTGAAAGAGAGATTTGAAATTTGAGAAAGGTGATTGGGTGTTCCTTAAGGTCACTCCTTTCAAGGGAATTAGTATGTTTAGTAAGTTAGTGAAACTAAATCCTTGATTTATTGGGTCATTTGAAGTTTTAGACAGAATTGGCATCACCACCTACAGACTGACACTGCCTTCAGAACTATCCAGGGTCCATAATGTATTCGATGTGTCCATGCTATACAAGTACAACCTGGATTCCTCTCACGTCCTGCCCCATGAGCCTCTTTTGCTCCAGGAGGATCTGTCCTACGAGGATATACCTGTGGGTATTGTGGAACGAAAGAGCAGAGTACTTCGCAACCGAAAAATTCTTTTCGTTAAGGTCCTATGGCAGAATCACATATAGGGATAGGTCACATAGGAGCTAGAAGCAGACTTCATAGCCCAGTATCCCCAACTATTTGATTTAATGAGAGAGAGACAAATTTAAATGACCAAATTTCTTTTAAGAGGGAGAGAATTATATTACCCGAAATTAATATGTAAAATTTAAAATTTATGTATAAAAAACCGCTTCCGATGAGGCCCTTCCTAATTCATGTTTCGTGTAATTTTTTCACCATTGTAATCACTATTTTTTTCTCTACAGGTTGACCGAAGTAAAACACCCAATCGCGAAGGTGAGCTGACAGAGCCGCCGTACTAAAAAATTTCGCCGCCGATAAGCTTGGGTTTTTCGACTTTTTTCGGCCAACCGAGGGCCCTTAACATATTTTCTCGCAGGGATGGGTACGAAATCGGCCGAAAACGGCCAATCCGAGGCAAACTACCGCTGCAATCGACAGTTTCATCGCTAGAGCACGGCGGTGCTGCCATGTCAGAATTTTAAAATTGGCTAAAAAAAGTTTTTAACTCCGATTTTAGATTTTTTGGGGTATTTTTAGGTACTTAAAATGTGTTTTAATCATCGAAGAAAAAATTTAGAAATCCAGAGACTGCCAGTAGGTGCAACTGCAAGTTTAGCATTTTGGACACCGATCCGAATAAGAATCTGTTACGTTATTCCATGTTATGGAATTGAAGTTTAATTATAAATAATATGGTATTTTGCGTAATTTAGAAATATCAATAATTAAATGTTACTAATGGAGGCAGAATCGGTTATTTATTATTATTTTTCATGTTTAATTGATTGATTGATTGATTTTACAATTTTAAATGCATGATAATACACTGGAATTTGCATGATAATTCGATTGTATTTACTTGATGCATGTATTGCTTGTTTTACTTGATTTACAGTTAAATTGAGAATTTGAAAATTAGAGGTAAATGAAATTTTTTTTGAATAAGTGAATGGATAAATGGTAGCTTTACTGAATATCCTGCGAGATGGTGAACAGACCGGGTATACAGGGAACCCTATCATGAACGTTGCATTTTATCAAACGGGGAATCGAGGATTAGTAATTTGACGCTCATACTTGACAGGGTGTGGGACGGTCCGTTTCACACTCATATCGGACGGGGTATTGCGGGATGATATTTATTGACGCTAATACCGGACGAGGTATAGGGACGGTCCGTTAGTTGAAAATGTTGAAAAAGAGTTCACGCATAGTGGGGACATCTATATGAACTCTTATAAATATCAGTGGACTGAGAAAATATAAAGTTGTTGTTTCGACTTATTTATATGAAATCATGATATTATTTATGTTATTGATTATATAGGTCAGTTTTAGAAATTTCGCTACAATAAGTATGAAGTAAATAATTTTATTTATGATAAATGAATTTTACTAAAATTAAGAGCTCAATTAGTTATTTTTATGATTTCCACGAAGCTTCATTTATGTAATTGTGAGCAGTGTGATATTCTTACTACAGTAGTGTAACTCACTCTTTCATTAACCATTTGAGATCAAGAGAACCAAGATGTAGAATCCGATCCACAAGAATGTTACAAATAGGATGTACAGTTGTTTATTTTTCTTTTATTTATTTTATTTTTTGTTATTTTTTTTAAATGGTCATTCATGCATCTTTATTGGACAATCTGAATTATTGTATAATGAATGTAGACCTTAACTTTATTGTTTCATTTTTATATTTAATTTATAATTTATTTTTTTTAAAATTTACGGGTCGTTTCATTAGAATCTATCCAAAAAGATCTCAACCTATGAATTTTATTCAAAAATATATTTACCACTCTATACATACAATATAATTGATATAGTGGTATGTACATATAGTTGATATAGTGGTTTTTAGGGAAAAGAAGTTCACATGCAAGTGGTAGATTCACGTTGGTCTTAGATAGCATCTCCTTTCACATTGACCAAAAAAACATGTTTCAAAATGTTCCCTTTTAAAGCTCTAAAAAAAAAATAAAAATGCTGCCTGCCTCATCCACCAAAAAGTTGAGAAATTTGGGTCTTGCATGGGACCCACATTTCATCCACTAAAATAGCACGCTTCACAATAACTAAATATTGATTTATTTATTAATTATTATTTAGTTGAATAATAAATATTTTTTAATAAAAAAATTATGAATTTTAATTAAATTATAAGGTTGTTCGTCTTCTTATTTAATAATTATTTTTATTTATTTTATAATTAATATATATTTATCAGATGTATAAGAATATAATATTTATTTATTTAAAAAATATTATTATTAAAAAAATAAAAGTTGTCAAGTTCCTAGGTCCTAACTAACCTCAACCGTAACCGATCCGATTCATCATAAGTGGTCGGCCAGTGCTCCATTATTACCAAGGTAGGCAACACACCACACTATTTACGGTGGGCCCAGATTGTCTGCTGACCGTCTGATTTCATCCACCCATGATTCATCTACTGATTATACATCTATACGTACACCCCCCACCACATTGTTTGCCAATGCCAGCCGCAATGCAAAAGCCATGTTTACGCTTCCACTCACCACATGCGCGACTAACACCGCGTTTCTTTCATTAAACGTTTTATTTTTATTTTATAAGAATTAAAGCTTAATGCTAACTTTGAATTAAATTTTTTTATATTTATTTTTTTAACTCTAAATATATTAGTTTAAAGTAAAAGTAAATTTTAGAATTAGAATTTTGATTTGAAAATAACAAATGAAATTCGAATAAGGTGTAATTCTATTGTAATTTTATTATTTAAGATATCTTAAAAACAGTATCTCCTATCATGAATAATTAAAGAAAAATCTCAATTTTTATATTAATATAAGTTATAGACACACACACACACATATGTACATGATTGTATAATATATGTGTCGGCTGCGTAACTAGAGGCAGCCCATAACCTAATATTTTACACAATAATTAACACTTCATTATCATATTCCTTAAATTATACAATACGAGTTGACGTAATCTCAATTTGGCAGTTTCTAAAAAGAAAAAAATCTCAATACGACAAAAGAGGCATGGCCAAAATCATCATCAGAGAGCCATTCTTGTTGGTATTTTTAATTAATCCAACTAGACCCAGTTTCTATTGATTTTCATGACCACCTCCTTCCATTTAACTTCATGTGTTCTTTAATTAATAATATTATTTATTTATATAAAATGTATATAACTTATGTTACCAGGAAATAAATACGAATTAAATTTAACTAATTTTTCTTTTTAAAACCATACCAGAAGCACATTTTCAGCAAGATTCCTTGAAGCAAAATTAGTACTTTTTGGCCCACATCAATTTCTTTTTCTTTAAATTTACTTTGGTTGTATCTATTTCAGTTAATAAAATTTAATCATTGTGACAGGGTTTTTTTTTTTTTTTTTAGAAAAACAAATATTATATTATTAAACTCAATTTAATTACTATTGTCCTACTTAAATTATTAGTATTATTTAATAAAATATTATAATTTAATTATCATTAATTCATAATATATTTTAAAAGTGACAAATAAAGTTTTAATTTGTGCCAAAAATGTTAACCAGATCAATTTCTTTTTCTTCAAATTGGATTAAAGATTATATTCAATCATCCATAGTTGGGAACCAAGAGCCGGTCGATGGCATTGTTGTTATTTCTCCAAAAGAGTATGGACAACCGAGTAATTGCAGTACAAATTTCAAGCCTACTTAAACCTCCATTGAACCCACCATGCACCTTCAACAAAACACTTTCTCTGTTTCCATACCCCCAAAAGAAAAAGGATACCAAACATGAGAACCCAGAATCGTGGTCTACATCTCTTAGCCACCTTCCTTATCTGCCTCAAAACGATCGCAGCCGTCGATTCTTATTACCCCGACGGAGACTCCGGTTCAACCAACGCCACCGATTACATTCGCAGTAGCTGCGGGGCTACGTTATACCCTGAGCTCTGCTATACCTCCCTCGCGGGCTACGCAAGTGCCGTGCAGAAGGACCCGGCTCGGCTCGCCCGTGTGGCTATCGGCGTCAGTCTCTCCAAGGCCCGGCGAGTGGCGGCTTACGTCTCCAACATCTCTCGCCAAGCCGACTACGGAGGCGACCAGCGGGCAACTGCCGCGCTCCACGACTGCTTCTCGAACCTTGGGGACGCCGTGGAGGAGATCCGCGGGTCTCTAAAGCAGATGCGGCAACTGGTTCCGGCGGGCTCGGAGGAGTTCAGGTTCCAAATGAGCAACGTGCAAACGTGGATGAGCGCTGCCCTGACGGACGAGGACACGTGTACGGATGGATTTGAGGACGTGTCTGATGGACCGATGAAATCGGACGTGTGTGATCGAGTGGGGAGAGTGAAGAAGTTCACGAGCAATGCGCTGGCGTTGGTTAACTGTTATGCTCAGACGGGAATGCGTTGAGTGTGAGTGACTGTTTGTTGAGTGATTTTCTTTTTCTTTTTTTGTAAATGTTTTTGTTTTTTGTTTTTTTTTTTGTTTTGTGTGTAAGAGGTAATTAGTTGTTGTTTGCTTTTACTTTTTTTTTTTTTTTTTTTTCTAAAAAAAGAAGGTTGTGTGGTAATTTTGCTTTCTTTAAATTATGGAAGAAAGGCAAAGAGACCGAGTTTACTGAGTTAAACTCTGAGTTGATTAAACTTTCTTTGAAAATAGTCGAATTGCTGTGTTAATTTATATAAATTAACATTTATATTCATCACTGAGGTCATAATTCCATTTTATTTTTGACCCAATTAAATTTATTGGTGATAAATATTGTGTGAATAAAGCCCATTTGCTGAAATTTCAATTAGAAGTTTTTAAAATTACGAGTCTTGTGGGTAAATATAATTATGTAAGGCATCAATTATTTTGCTGAAAAAGGAAAAAAGGTAAAATAAAAATGAAGATGGCGCAATCAGTGGATAAATGAAAATGGAGAATGGCGGATATGGTGCGTGGTTGTCTCTTTCAGTATCCTCCTCTATCGTCTCTTCTTCTCTCACAGTTTAAAAGCTGACCTTAAGTTTTCCAAGATTATGGGTCGACAATATGGTGGAGTGAGACTGTCACTACGTATTTTCACCTGCCTTCTTTATGTCAATATACAGAGATATAATAAAAATATCAATGACTACTTCAATAACTTACGTTATATATAATTTAAGATAATAATTATAATTAAAAAGAAGACGCTTTTTATCACAATATGTACGTACATATTACGAAGCAGATACCTATACATACGTAATTTGAAAATTATACTGTACCTCAATATTATAATATGATACCAAACAATTTTGAAAGCATATCATTTTCATGATATAGAATAATGACAATCATCATTGTCAATAATTTCAGGGATCTGCAGATATCATTATGACCAGGAGATCGATTGATACCCTGTTTTTTTTGTACGGCCATTATTTTGACTGATTTTTTTTATGGGATCTGATTACGGTGAGATTCGTTAAATTATATATAATGTCTCTAAATTATGCACTTACATATATATATATATATATATATATACAAGAAATGATTAAAGATGTGTAGACATGTGAATGAGTATATTTGGCTTTTGCTTTAAACCATGTTTTGCTTTCAAGTCCAATTATGGTTTTTTTGACTAATTATCTGCAGACATAAAAGTGCATAACGTTTTAGTCCATGCCTTTTTTATGGTACGCCCGTCAACTTTACAAGCCACTTTTGACCTATTCGTATTCTGAGATTAAACTTTGGTTTAATTTGAGTTTGAATTCAACAATAAGTTAATTACTATTCATTCAAGTATGGTTGAGCTAGAATCTATGAGGAAAAAACGTGACACACAATTTTTATATAAGTGACATTAGGGTATAAAGTTGCCCATATAACATAAGATAAGAAAGTAAAATAGCAAAATTGAACCATTTATATAATTATGAAAATTTTGAAACTAAAGATAAACCTTAATGAACTTAATAAAAACAATAGTTTATTTTCTTTAAACAATGTAAATTATAGTTTCATTCAATAAGGAGGAAATAAATAGACCTATAACTACTATTTTTTAATTCAATTCCAAATATTGAACATAAACATTATATTTGTAAACAATTTTTATGCTAAAAATATGTTATATTTTTGTAAAAAAAGATTAATTAAAATTTATAATGAAATAATTTTATCTCTATAGACTAAATTATAATGTGAAAAACAAATTAATACAATTAATTTATTATAACATAATCCATGTATAATTCGAAAACTGAATTAGTTATTTATTACAAGTTTAAATGAAAAATGAACCAAAATAATTACAAAAAAAAAAAAAAAAAAAAAAAAAGAATTGAATCGACCACAACCTAACAATTATATATATAAAAATTAGCTAATAATACATTCCATGGGTAAGATAATAATAGATAATTAATATAATCCTAACAACTGCATTAAAAGTTTAAGAGAATATATACCGTATCATTACTTAAGTCACGTATGGGTTTTGACCTTGGAATTAATGTGCAAAAAACAATCATCTTTTGTCTCGTGAACAATATCTACAGCACATACATACAGTCTTTTGTTTTTATGTTGTTCTCGAATAAACCCAATTTAATTATATAATAATGCAATTAATTACTCGTGACCTCCATCCATCCTCGTGGTCATTTATAACGAATTGGTTGGTACGATTAATTATCATTGATAATATAATTACAATACAAATTAGTTATCCTAAGGGTCTTCTGAACCCACGTGAACTTACATACATACAAAGCACAACCAGTTCTACGTATGGTATCGAAGGGTTTTATATAATGAAAGTACAAAACCCATGTATTATGATAATAAGATCCTTAATCAAATTGCATTTCTAATTAATTATGGTCTGTTGAGTGCTTGATTAGAATAAGCAAGGAGGGTATGAACACGCACATGCAAGAGAGCGAGAGGTATAAAACGACGTGTAGTGACAGATAACAAAATAGCCAAGGCAAGAGCGAGGTGTCAATTTATGAACCATAAAGAGCTATGCGTAAATAAATAAAGCAGGGGAGAATTGTTTTTGTGTTATGTTTATTTTGGAATTATATGAAATCAATCATGATCATGATCTTGATCAACCCGTGAGGCCAAACACAGAGTTGATCAGACGACAAAATAGAAGAAGGTAGATCACGACACATTACTCATAATAATTTAGCTTTTTTTTTCTTTTTTTTTCTTTAAATTAATTTTCAAAGTAAATAATAAATATATATTTTTTCCTTTTTGGGTTCACGAGATGTTATGTTTTTGTTTTCTCCCGTACCCACATGCATGTATTGCATCATCAGCGTATGGATGCGGGCTTTTTTCTTTTTTGGAATAAGAATATAGAAATTAATTTTAAAAAATATTTTAAATTTTTGCAATTATTTCGTTACGATTTTGAATCGTTACACCAAGGTGTCGTGGTGTAGTTGGTTATCACGTCAGTCTAACACACTGAAGGTCTCCGGTTCGAGTCCGGGCGACGCCATGTGATTTCCCTTTTTTTTTTTTTTTTTTGAATTTTTATTAGCCCATTTAAGAGGGTGAGTTATAATGTGCATAGAAAAGGGGCCTGATATTTGTTCTTGGCGTAAATGGGCCTGTGTCCAACTTGGGCTATGACTTTAAACAACCTAAACCGGAAGTATGAAAGTACACATTTTCCAATATTATTCTACACTCCGTTTTCTTGATTTTTACTTCGGAAGAAAAGTTTAAATCTATAGTATGTAAAATTTACAATAAGCCCAACAAGGAGGTGTCGTGGTGTAGTTGGTTATCACGTCAGTCTAACACACTGAAGGTCTCCGGTTCGAGTCCGGGCGACGCCATCAGTTTGATTGTGTTTATGTTGTTGATTTTTAGATCATTTTTTTTGTAGTTTGAAGTGTTGGCCCAGTCAGTCTTATAATATTTTGAAGGGCCCTAATTTTTGTTTGTGAAACAAATTTTAAAACTATACTGAGTTTGGGCTTGGATTCAAATAACAAAATCCACTCCAATCATACCTGTGAGAAGCCTTAAAAGAAGACAATCAAATCCCTAATATAAGTAGATATTTTATTAAATATAAGTACAGTTCATTAACTATAACAAATATAAAGATGCTTTAAATTAAAAATAATATAATATAAATCAATTAACATATGAGGACATGAATTCATACATAAATTAAAGTATAAGGGGTTTGGAGCCCACCAAATAAATGCTGTCACAAGACTCAAAATATAGGCCCAGCTAACAAACTGGTCAAATCTTGGATTGCATACCTTACCCATTATTTATGATATGGAGCATTAAGCAACCTCATTATTCACGTTATCATAATTCGATATTCTGTGTGTGTGTGCATATATATATATATATATATATATATATACTATTTGGAGTAATATTATATTTTTTTAGAAGATAATAGTTAAGGCAATGATGATACAGTTACAAGTTATGTTGAATTTATTTTTATTCGAGAAACAAAATAATAATCGCCCTTTTAAACATTCCATCAACTCTAAGTAAGAAAAAAAAAAATAAAAAAGAAAAACAAAACGTGGTTTACCAGGAAATATTTAATAAATCATAATTGTACAACATATTTTATCCTCAATTTTTAATTGGTCAAAAAACAAGAGAAAAAAATTAAAAAAAGTTGGTAGTAATATCTACTTCAAAATATACCGTGATCTAATTGAAGTCAAGTATTTTGAAAGGGTATAATATTAAATAGAAATGAATATAAAAATATAACTCTTCTCTTAAAGAATATATGTCTTGGGTATGACACGACTTGTATATTTATATATATATGAGCTATTATAAGATATAAACTACCCCCTTTTTCTATGCAATTGCTTGTGTGTGAATATATATATATATATATATATATATGTTTTTTTTTTCCTTCTCTATTAAAAGATATTGTTGGGCAGCATTTAAGCATCTAACCTATATATTTATAAGAATTCCACAACTTGTATGGAGATAATTATGAAGATTTTGAAGTATTAGTCCCCATCTCACCTGCCCTCTAATTTAATCTTATTTTTCAACAACTAGTAAATTAAGTCTGTATTTTTCATTCAAACAAGTTGCTAATAGACTTGCAAATACAGCAATTAATTAATTGTAATGGCTGCCTGCCCGCCCACACGATATGCCAATTTATAACAATCAAAATACAACCCCACATAGGTATTTAGAAATAGATATATAAGCCCCTACTACATATGACTAATGGCATTAATTAATTTGCTTGTTATATATGGATAGCTCAATGTATAGTATAATCTTAATTAGAAAAAAAAATATTAACAAAAATTTTGGACATTTATAATATAATTAATTAATTAATTATATATATATATTGAGAGTATTATATATATATATGTCAATATTAATGGATAATTACAATTAGCTCGCTTAATAATTTTTTAGTTGATGTGGGTCTGTCAAACACATTACACACTTATCCACACACATGTACACATATATATAATTTAACATTAGTTAGGCAGCTAATTGATGAACAGTAATTTTGGTTCAAGTCACAAGACAAGCTGACGTAACTTTGTAACGGGATGATATCAATTCTATCGTAATATATTAGTTTATGTTATAAAGTTTAATCGACGCAACTTTTTAACGGACTGATATCAACTCACACAACACTATATATATATATATATGCATATATTTATATTATACGTTTTAATTATTAACCGACACAACTTTTAATTGATGAAGTGATATTAACTCATTTATCTATTTTTTTTTTCATATTCAAGTATATACATGTTATTGTATGTCACTGTTCATTAATGTAAGTCCAAGACTCCAAAATATACACGTACGTAAATAAATAATTAAATATCAGATGACAACAGAAACTTTTCGCAACGATTGAGCTTTAGGTGTGTGTATACATATGTTTATTATATGCATGCAAGCATATCTACTTAAAATGTGGGTACACATCTAGATATATACGTTTATATATTAAAATGCCCCATCATATATAATATATTAACAGAAATAATGTCATATAAGAATGACAATAAATTTGAGGTGACGATAGGATTTACAGAGGAACCCTTCAGTGTTCAAGTAATCAAGCTCTCCATAGACAGGTGAATGATTGTGAAGTTGATTGACTTTATTGGTCCACAATTATTAGATCATAATTTCATTATCTTGATTAATATATTATACCAACTTTTATATGTATGTATATATATTAAATAAATGGACTATTTGCCTTATAAAAGCGGCAAAAAATTTAACAACTAGCTTCTAGTTATATATTAACTAAAATTATTAGAACACAAACATAGTAATTCTCAAGATAAGTACACTAATTTATTATAAGAATAAGAAGTTACACATTTTATTAAATAAATTACACATACCCAATATTCATAATATAATTTACTAATGGTTAATATATAAATTTTATATCAATAGTTTGGGAATTGTAAGGAAAATTAGAAATAAAGAAAAGGGTGTTTTTATTAATAACCGCTGTTACAAATACAAGTTGGCTTGATAAATGCACGGTCACCTATTTAGTTTCACAATTTATTTCTTCTAATATTTGACAAATCAATATCAGCTAATTCACCCCCAAACCATTCTCTACTTGAAAACGATCACTACACAAACAACATAATAATACCCAACACAAATCACAATCTTATCTACATTTCACCACGTAAAATCTATCTCCAACAGTCTCATAAACCAGAGTCGAACGGCACCCCCGTCGACGGAATCCATGAGTTTCCGCCCAAAAAGTTCCCCACCGTGAACTTTCCCGCTTCTGCCGGACTCGTTATAACATGAAATCCCGGCCAATTCACTCTACCACCTGTGCTTGCACCGGCGCCGGTGTTCATGTACTCACCGTAGTAAAGAGTCTTTAAAGCAAAACCACCGCTCCAAGCCAACCAACCAGCCGGGCTCACGATCCCGTCCAGTCCGGTTTTCATGAACACAGTCCTTGAGTACTGCTTCCATGGCCGACCTAAGTATACCTTGAACCCACCTGCTCCGCCGACGTGCGAGTTGTGGATAATTATTCCGGTGTTTTCATTCGGGTCGGATCTTCCCTGGGCGGTGACGGTGGTCCATTGGCCGCTCATGGGTTTTCGCACGTAGATGTTGCAGCTTTGGAAAACGGCGGCGGCGTCGCCGAAGATGAAATCGATGGTTCCTTGGATGTTACAGTTGCGGTAGAATTGGCGCTGAGCGTACACATATAAGGTATCCTGGTAACCCTTGATGCCGCAGCTGTAGAAGACGGAGAAATCGGAGCCGGAGCGTAGAGCCACCGCCTGGTGCTTTGAAGGTCCGGCCGTGTTCTCGATCGTGAGATCACGCGCGATAAACCCACTACCCATAACAGCTGATGGGACAGACAGATAAATCAAACTTAATTTGTTAATCAGTGTATTTATATATAAATAAACTATTTACTCATACTTTTACGTGATGCAATTACTTAATTAATACTGTGTTTATGCTCATGTAATGAAAAGTGAAAGGTATGTTTTGGTAGGCCAAAATGGAATGGAATAGTTTCATTTGGTTCCGACATTTACTCACCTTTGGTTTCATTAATTTTTAAGGAAACTAATGTTGACTCCCATGACTTAACATGTTACTGACTTCTTATGTTGCTTCTGGGTTTGAAATTAATAATGTATAGCTACTTCCAAATATTCAAGAGTAAAAAGTAAAATTATTTATTTATTTATGTATATAAAAACGGTAACTTAATCTGGGTTAATTTGTATTAAATAGTATAGTCTTGTATCTATACGATTAATTTATTGATAATGCAAAAATATGCTTGCTTTACACATAATGACATAGTTTATTTTTCATGCAGTAACAAGAAAAGATGATGTAAATATTTAATATAACTGGTGCTATGGCAACGTGCTTGATCTGCTCTAAATGCTCACGTATGTATAAACATACATAAAAATAAATAAATTAAATTTAATTGTTTTAACTTCATGTTTAATGAAACTATTCTTTCACACACGAACATGGGCCATACATAATTACGGTAAAGAAACTAAGGCAATATTAATTTATAGCACTGTTTTATTAAGAAGTCTAAGATGATTATTTTTACGAAACTTTTAATATGATCTTGAGTTGATATCTATCTATAAATATATGAATTCTATTCGCTACAAACTTGAACTTACCAAAAGTTGCAGACCGGAAGGTCGTGGCGCCACCCGCAACGCTTTTACCTCCTCTAATAACGGTGACATCCATCCCATCTCCGATAACCATTATGTTCTTCATCGATCTCTTAACTTCAACATTTTCATTATAAACACCACCTTTCACGTATATCACGAACCGACCCGACCCGCCTCTTCTCTTGGACGATGCCGCTACAGCCGCCGATACGCTCTGGTAATCCCCAGAGCCATCTTGAGCCACAACGACGTCGGCTCTAATTGCCCCAGTTGATTTCTGCAGTAACTTCCGATCAGCAGCCGATACCCATGATGGGAATAATCCATTCTGATGATCGGCAAGCAAACGTCTACCTCGAGTTTGTTTGGCGAAACGCAGCGCAGCAGAGGAATAATAGGACTCCACTCTGTCCTTGTTTATGGCGAGTGAGTTGCTAATCAATTTTGAAAAGTTGGTCAACATGACGACAGGGAGGTTTTCTAGAAGATAACCCGAGTTAAAATCAAGAAATCCGTTCTTGCAAGTTTCATGGTTGGAAATTGCGGCGCTGAGCCATGTTTGGGAATCTACCGGGTTGGTGGAGGTCATGGATTGGTTAAGAAGGTCAAGGGAGTCCGCATAAAGCTCGAGACAATCAGACCAAGCCAACTTGGCTCGGTCGTGGAATGAACTCAAGTCGATACCAGACACAAGTTGGTGAGCCCGTACGGCTTGGTTCAAGGTGACCCTAATGGCTCGTTCATGAAACGAAATATGGGACCGGTCCTGATCGAGGGTTGCAACAAGTTGATCAGGTCCCATGAAATGGGCGCAAACTTGAGGATGTGGGGTTTGGTCACATGATGTAATTGGGGCAGCATGCACCAGATATTGGAAGGAAATTAAAATGAGGAAATGGGCGTACAAAAAGGGAATGAGCCCAAGTTTGTCCATTAAAAAGGACTAGTTAATATAATTGGGAGGGTTGAATTGATTAGGAGAGTGGGAATGAAGAGGGGTTTATATAGGATTAATTTGTAGGGCAGTGGGTGGAACTAAGCAAAGCCAAGATGTTTGAATTGAACGTACCATAAGGGCAGGTTGATTATTTGTCAACGTGCCTAGGGTCCATGCATTGACACTTACGTTAAAACAGAATCTTTTTTTTTTAATGCCTTTTCTCTGTTTAGTATATATATATATATATTTTTATGAGATCCCATGGTTTAATTATTTCAAGTTTTGATTTTGGATTTACTGGGTTTTGAATTAAAAAAAAAAAAAAAAAAACATTCAAACTGCTGTATATCATATACGCCACTAGAATTATGGCCTTCTCTTTATTTTTTAAATTATTACCATTTTATATAAAATTTGATGGGTATGTTTACAATTAATTGCATTAATATTGAAAAGGGAAGAAAATAACGCAATGATATATTATATATATGAATTGATGAATGATGATGAAGCCATTGACTCCATGAGTCTTTGTTGTTGCATCACTTTTTGAAATCGGTAGGCTACAAGATACAAGTGGCTGAGTTTCCACGCAATTTATTGATTATGTGTAAATCACATTTATTTTGGATAAAAATAGCGCATCATTTTCCTCTTTTTTTTTTTTTTTTTGAAAAAGTAAGAATACAAAATAATGCAACTATTGAAAAAGAATTCATACATAATACGTAAATGTATGTTTTGACTGGCTGAGTACTAGGTGGTACGTATATTACATAATTGGCATGCAATGGCTTTTTATACACGTTTGCCTCTTGAATTCAATTGATTATGTACTTGTCATAATATTTGGTGTATATTTAAAATCATTGATTGGGGATCCAGTAGATGAAACTTCAAAATCCACTCAATGAGATCGTAGAATATGTCACCCTTTATAGAGTTTTTCACGAATTGACTTTTTAATCTTTTTGATGTCCTCTTAATTCTTTGCTTTCGTAATTAATATTATAACAAATTTAATTTCTAAAAACATTGTATTTAGGTTGGTAATTAGTTAATTATTTGCAAGAATTAATCTCATTTGTAAGGATAGTGTGTTTTTTTTTTTTAATTTTACAGAGTTCAATTTTATAAAATGCAGAATATCAATATAGAAAATAATATACATGTTAATCATAATATAATATTGAAATAAAAAAATATATATATAAATACAATTCAATTTGAACTTACAGTATCTTATAGATAAAAAAATATATCAATCATTAAACTTAGCAACGATTGATATGCTTTACATTTTGATAATATGAACTGAAATTTTATAATTGTTATCATATCAAATGATTGTATTCACACTATATATTATATAAATTAGTACTTTTCTCTCATACATTTAATTCTTGTTTAATATATTAAGAATCATTATTCAGTTTTTAATTTAAAAAATTAAGAGTTATACAATAAGTATTTAATTTTCTTATTCAATAAGATCTCGCGTGTAAATAACTTGTATAATTCATAAAACACAGATACAACAAAAAAAAAATACAAATTTTTCTACTTATATATTTAGTGAATCCATACTTTAAGAATAAAATAAGTATAATTATATTATTAGAGATTAGTGTAACTTCAAAATTATTTTTGAAGAAGCATTCGTGTAAGATCATTGTGGTGGCAAATGGGTTGAGACTAAGAATTGGGAAGTGAATAATGAGTTTCTTTTTTTGTGGAAAATGTCAAAACATCAGCCTCCATTAATAAATGAAGCATTTATTTATTTTTAATTTTCAAATTTTGTTTGAATTAATATCTACTTTATATATATATATATACATATAGGTTTCCAGGACTTTGCTTCTCCTCAAGAAATATGCATATAAACAAGAATTAGAAGTTAGGTCTGTAAATGAAGAGTGTTCGTTTGGAATTAATATGCTCAAAGTATTCAAGAATCAAGCATCTTTCCTCCTTATATAATCGCAGCATCATTATCCTATTTAGTAGTACACATAGAGAAGGCTTTATGTACTTCTTTTACGTGCCGGCCAAAACTTCTTCAATGTATTTCTGATATAAATATATATTCATCTTCAATTTTTAATTTTTCAGCTTTAGAAAGTCATTTGATATATATATATATATATATACACATATATGTTTATGTATATTTTCATCATCAGTTAAGGTCAAAACATTTTTATCATATGCTTACGAGTCACTAAAAATAATTATAAGTTATTAGTATATCTATGAGTTTCTGTTGAAATGTATAATCCAATAATATGTTTTGTATTTTTATATAAGACTATGTAATTAATAAAATATTATTTCGGAAAAGTATGCCAAGAAAAGTGTACATGTTAACAATTACATAATTAATGATATATATATAATATGTATATATATATATAATATTAATGGACTGTTAAAATTAGCTTAATTAAACAAAGCAAAATATAAGTGAAATTAGAGGCACCAAACAATTAATAATGCTGAATTATTGATGTTTAATTTTAAGTCGTTCTCAAGTCAAAATTAACCCATCAAATCCTTTGCCGATACAAAAAAGTAGCAGCCTCCATAGTACGCTTTCCCCCCTTCTCCTTTCTCCATCCTTCGCTAGGTAGACCACTCTAATTTTGTAAGCCACTCAATTATTAACCACAAATTCATATAATAATAATAAAATTATTTTATTTATTTATTATTATTATTATTTATTTATTTATTTCAATAATAATAATAATAATAATAATAATAATATAAGGTTGCATGATAGCCACAAATCTCAAATGTGGTGTGGGTTTCAGAGCCACAAAATTGATTGCTTGTCATTTAGCAGCTCAAGCATTTTTTTTTTTTCTTTTTTTTGCAAGTCTTTCATGTTATGATGCTTATTGTACCAAAATTACTGTACCCACTTAATCTTTCCTTAATATACTTAAAAGCTGCGATAACACAATTCCAGAAAGTTGCGTCTAATATTGCTCTATATTTCTATTCTACTATAGTTTACATATGAATTAATCAGTCTGCACTCTACATGGATTCTCTAGACGCCTCACACGTTACCCAGATTTATATATTTGCAAATTTAGGATATGTATATGCATATGATCGCGCGCTACAGCTTTATTCCATTATTACATATGTATCTATGTTTGTGTATATATACATGCCTAGTTGTCTATACATTAAAAAAGATAGAGAAATCTAGAGTCATGAGTTGGTATTTTAGCAATCTATATGATTATTTTTTTAGATACTATACATATTTATAGATGATTGTGATGGTGTTGAATTTGGCCAGAGGTTTAATTTGGTGAACGATGGTTGCATTAGTACTTAAAATTCCGATAGGAGCTCTCATTTGTTAAAATAATTTTACGAATACTGCGGTAAATGATCAAGTGATTTGTATTTTCATAAAGAGATGCTAATCGAATGACTATTTCATTTGAGTAAAAATTTCACATTTTATTAATTAAATAACATATGCATACTAATGTTAATATGGTCTTATAATAAGAACACATATAACATAATATTATAATATATAACTGTATTATATTTTTATTCATCATTCAGTCAATTAATAGTTAGTCAAATAATTTAATTTATCTTTAATAATTTTTTTATTAATTTTTTGTTAATCACAACCAATAATAGGTTACTTCTTAACTTGCCAAGGTAAAAACCATTACTAACTTTATAATGCTTTACTGTCCACCTCTATTTATGAATATGTTATAACGGAGAGCTCCATCGAAGACTAAGCTTGTAGTTTACATGAAAAGAACTCTTTCATCCAAAATAACCAAGTCAAGATCATTGTGCACCTTGCCCAATAGATAAATGATGAGACAAAGGAAAACTATAGTGAAAGCAGACATATCTTGGATAACACAAATTACAATAGGCAAATAGAGCTAAGTATACATAAAACTAATGTATCAAATACCATTATACCAAAAACTAGCAATAAAACATCAAGATGAATTCTTCGACATCCAGAGTAGGCAAACTCTCGTAGTTCCTAGATCCCCAATGTCCAACTACCTTGATAGACAATTTACTCTTGCTTATTTGATGTTGTACTCTTGCTTATTTGATGTTGTACCCACTTGACACGAGTTGACTATTCACTCAAATGAAAACCTCCAGTGATACAAAATAAAAAAAATATTTATGCGAAATAAACCACCTCTCTAATCTATATTCATTTACCTAACCAACCCTTATACCTCTATTTATTATCATCTAAGACGGCCTAAAATATAGTCTAACCTTCATCTTTTTAATGGTCCTCATTGCACTATAGAATCTCTTCTACATTGGAAATAATAACTTGTAATATATGACTCTATGTAATCAATAAATTCTTAATATACATATATTATTAAAAAGAGAAAACAAGAACAATCCTAAATGTTACACATTCTAGACCAAGATACCCCAACAAGATCATCATTGGTGAGCTGAACAAGATCGACGAAAGGTTGACGATGGAAGTGGAGCCCAGGAGGATTCAAAAAGGTGTGGTTGGCTAAGAAATTAACACAATGATTCTCTTCTTTGTAAACCCATTAAATATAGACCGTCCAACACCTAACCAAACAGATTCTTATAGCTTGAATAAGATTGCAACTAACATTTATTTGAATAGGCTCATGACAGATAACTTTGTTCAGAACCTAGACCGTGAGCAAGTTGTCCATCTCGAGAGTGACTTTACGCGCACCCATATTTCATGTCATACCCAGGCCGTCCAAGGTGCCCTATAGCTCAACCTGTAAGATGGAGTACATCCCAATATTCCTGCTAAAACCCCCTAGCTAAGTGTCATTTGCGTCACGTCCTAGGCCACCGGCGCAGACCAAGTTAACATAAGCCCGATATTCACCATCAGTATTGATTTTGATCTAATCATAGAAGGGGAGGGGGACATACCAACAAATAAGTTTCTCATGCTTCCTGCAAGAACGACCCTTGGTTATAACAACAACTAGAGTAG